GGTCGAGTAAACAGAGCGTCACAAAAAGAAGGAACCAAGTTGAAAGGAAAAGGCGAGGTCAAATGAAACGAAGACAAGTCTACCGCAACCTTCATTGATTGTGCTCCGTGAAGGGGATAATGGGGGAGGGAGGTGGAAGAGGAGAGATAGTGGATGATGTGGAACGGAGAGTTACAGAGGAGACGAGATAACGTGAGGAGAGGAAATGAGGGAAGAGATGGAGGAGCCCCTCCAATATCCCACAGACAGGACAATGAGAGTTTGAGATGTGCGTATGGGAGGAAAGGCGGGACCAAATAACTAACGGCTCACTGAGACATGAAGAGGGAGTGAATAAGATAGAGATGAGGTTAGATGGCATGAAGAGCGTTCGACAGGGTGGGAGGGAGGAGAGCGAAGGTACTGCAGTGGGTACGTGAAGCAACCAACAAACTCAGTCACCAATTTGTGACTGTGATAGTGACAGATGTGAAGAGAATGAAAAAGGCATAAGTGATATCGTGGATGGATAACGAATAATGAGTGTACGAGATAAAAGAGCAGAGGACATGGGAGAGCAAGTGGTGCTCGTGTCCTGCTACTAGCCATGATGAGGGTGGTCGATGGTGTAAGCTGCGAGAAGAGAGGAGGAGAGGAATGTGTGAATGAATGAATGAATGAGTGAATTGGAGTAAAGCATGTGGGGTACCTACTGACGAGGACTGAGGGAGGTAGGCAGTCGATAGGTCAGAGAAGTACCAAAAGTACACCTGGTGGTGTTGACGCCGTTGACTCACCGATTTCCATACGTAGGGCACAAAGTGGTTCACTCCCACAACCAGTTAAAATTTGTCAAGAGCGTGCTTCAACCAAACCGAACCTACCCTTTTCTAGACATCAAAATCCATTCCCAACTCACCTTACCTCACCTCACCTCACCGGACCAGCCTCATTAAAGCACAGGAACGTGATCTCGTGCAGTAAGCAGGACAACAAGGAATCGCATATCCCTTTCACTTCAAACTTTCTCCACCCTGCACCCATTCTACTACAAAACACCAATCACACATAACTATGCAGTCTGCATTTTTGAAATGACAGCTGCTGACGCCTTCCAACATGGCACAAGGAGCTCAAGCACCGATGCCTTACAAAATGCCTCTATTTCACAATTAATGGACTCAGAACAACGGACAAACAATCTCCGTCCATGAAAACAGGTGGAGCAATAATCCATGCACGCGAATCACAAGACGTTAAAGGGGACAACAAAAGGTTGACAGTTGACGGGATCGGATTCTGCACTCAACATAAGGCAGTGAGAGGAACATGAGGTGAGAGTGAACAACACGAAAGGCACAAGTCAAAAGTCGGTCGCCAATAATGCCACGACATCAACACCAAGTTCAAAATCATCCCTCTTGCTGTACATTAGCACAAGGACAAAAAATTGCACACTAATGACAAACACTCAACACATGCTGCATGCAACAAAAAAATCTATCTCGCATCATCTAACAGGACATTGTGGTACGAAATGAAGGAAGAAAAGAACCTACAATCATATTTTGAGCATTAAAAAAACCATGAGAATACGAGGCATGAAACCAACCTGTTCTGTTGACTGGCCTGAAGATATTGCCGGTGCACAATGCACGCATCCAACGTCTCCAGAAGATGAGTTAGGTTGGATTCAAGTTTCGGAAAGGCGGAAATCACACTAATGAAGGAAGGAATTCGCTTCGAAGAAGCATTCCAACTCACTCAAGAGTATTGTCCAGGTCAAAGCTAATACCTTGTAGCTTCTCGGCACAGACGAACGCCTTTCTCTAACAGCATTGATAAACACACAAAAGCCTACTCTTTCCTCCACTATTTCTGGCGCACTTTTCCGAATATGCTCCTGGATTCGGAATAGAGCAACGGAAGGCTCATTGACGAGGTTAACGACAGTTCCGACACTGCAGTTGTAAACTAAGCGACTCATGATTAATAAAGAAGTTCAAATAAACCCACTTCTGTCACACATCTTTTTGTGAATGTTGTCAGCATCCCCACGTGACATCGAGTTCATTTGGTTGTAGAGTAAAGCCACTTGTTCAAATGCCAGATACCCAAATTGTGGTATGCATTTTCAGGGTTTGGTCATGCTCAGCAAGGGTCACAGGTTTTGCAAATGCAGAAAGTGGAACGAGGAAGTCTATGCTGCGCACAGATGCCAGACACAAAAGTTAAAATATGGTGCACTTTCACCCAACTGATTACCTTCACTGGGGTAATACGCACACCCCACCAAATAAGGCACTCTTGTGGAGGAGGACTGTACAAAGTCAATGTTTGCGTAGTGTTGTTAATTGTCGGTGCTGCACAAAGACATTTTCAACAAATTAAAAAGGCGCTTAGCAAATCAGGAGGGTATTCAAGCCATCCCCTTAGGGCATAATTTCGGTCTTTTGAAGGCTTAATGCAACATTTGAACTCACGTTAGGGTAGTCTTGCTTGGCAGCTCATGCAGTTCTTCGAGACTTCTCACTACGAAAAACACGACATCAGGTACACACGTAACTTACGTTGACACCAGCATTTGACCTAACTTACTGAGAGGAATGCTGTAGGAACTGCCTGCATTGCAGGACCACAACCGTGAAATGCCGAATGGTGCTAAGTTGCCTCATCACCTCACCTTCACCCATTGCTATCATTCACATTCTGATCAGA